AGGCCTCAAGCTGTTTTCATACCGTGCGGCAGTGACGATTTCGGAGATTAGGAACAAAGGATGCATATCGACTCGGCGTTCTCGACGTTCAAAAATTAGATCGATACGCACCTAATTCCCTGAACGTAATGGTCGAAATCGTTGAAAGAATCGCAAAGTATGAACGATGAACTGGATTCTCGTGGTTAGGCAGATTGCGACTCCTGAGTATCCGATTTGCCAATTTCTCTATTATCCCACTTTCCTAGTCGATACGTATCCATTTCTTTGTGCCTACCCTCCAACTTAGGGCAGCAGACGGTGAGTAACGTTTGGTAACTGTAAGACCCAGCTACGATAGCACTTCACTCGCATGCTGATCTACGCCTTATGGGGATCTGAGATTTGCGATAGAGCGCCCCTGCGATTCACTCGCTTTTAGTTCCAAAAAGGACCGGCTTTCAAAAACAGTTCTTTTCGAGTTCGGGGTATGTTCTGTAGTTTCGACTGAGTTCCCTTGAGCAAGAAAAGATCCTGGTTGAGGAGTGCTTGAAAATCAAAAGAGTCGTGAACTATGACCGCCGCCTATCGCTGCCATCAATTAGATCCCCAGTGAGTGAAAAAAGAAAATATTTCATTCAATAAATAAAGGACAAAACGGATACTAGTCAAAGTTTGTGAAGACTACCTCTCAATTCCTATGAAGTAAACCTGTCAACTCTCGGGAAGCAATGAACACAACAATGGAAGTATTGAAAATACAAGGTCCCCCCAGAAGCGCGAATAAAGAAACAAACGAGAAATACATTACTTCGAAAGGTTATGTCGAATTTCCAATTGTGGCCGAACGTGGTGCAATCGACTGTCCACTGAAATTTCTTCCAATAAATAGATCAAGTTGCCCTGCACGGTTGACCATCTGTGAACATCAGGTACAACTTCCAATCTGCGACTTCAGAGAGCTGAAGAATCGCCCTACAGAAGAAAAAAGTGAAAATCGACCGCCTAGCTGGGAACCCATCTGATTCACTTTGAACCTTAAACGCAGGGATCACATAGTCTATCAAATCAAGACACTCATCATCCGTCTGCCGACACTGCTCGGATATGCAGTCATGATCCCTGCAAATGATGGGGCGTGTGAAGGGGGGGAGGGTGTCTTAACACATTGACGACAGCGTGATACGCATTTAATGCGCGCTTTGTGGGCCACGTGGGACCGCGCGAATTGTATACGAATCACGATCAACAAATCCATATCTTTCCCTAGTGCATGATTTTTTTGTTTAGTTTCTCCTATTCATTCTACAGGCCAGTCCTTAGTATACTCGTACAACAAGTGGTCCATGGAATAATTTAGTACACACTAGTTCAGCAAAGATTTCCTGTGGAAAGAGCACTATAAGCTTGAATTGGTTTGCTCCTCAACTTTGGATTGGTTTGCTGTTTAACTCTTTGCCAACAAATACAGACAATTACAACATTGATAATGATGAAAAAATATAAGGTGAAGGATTCTGAGTTCTATAGAAGGCACAATTTGAGTTTTTTTTATGAAAAAATTGGTTACAGACAAATTCGTGGCCCTGGTGCAAAGAGAGTTGGCCAGCCCAGATTTTTCCATAGTAAATAATTGACTTACTTCATAATTGCTCTCTAAACCAGGTTTTCTGATCCAATCTCCAAAAAAAGTGCCTCGTGAGGACCGCGTGAATCGTATGCGTACCGCGCATGTGGCGTTCGAGAAAGCGCGCGGTCCCACGCGGTCGAAAAAGCAAAAACCCGCGCGGTCGTCAACGTGTTAAAACGCTGGCAAGGCAGCCTTTCCATCAATGATGGCGCTCTGCAGTTGGCGGCCAGCGTTGTTGTGGCTGCGATCCAACTCACGCCCCGTAATACTCCCTATTGTTTTCAGGAATCATCACTGTACGTATAGCGCGCCTGAAACGGAAAAGCTATTGACGAATTCCATGCTGCACAAACCATGGCTCCCCCCCCCCAGCGACCAAATGGGACTCTCTCTGTGCAATTGTGCAATGGGAAATTCCCAATGATGGGGTGCCCTGACTGTGACCACACTTCGAATTTAGGAAAGTTTGTCACTAGGTACGGGTTTCAGGGGCGCGAGTCTGGAAGTCTGAGCGACGAGATGCAGGGTCTAGTGGCGAGCGCATCCGATAGCCAGTTAAATGCGCTTCCTGCAGTGCAGCGCTTTCGTTCTGATTCAATAAGGATCTGGTATGAATGCTGCGCAGTGACGTCCCTCGAGACGCCTTGTCGCTGGATCTCCTTGATCGCATGCGCGGCGCACAGCAGCGTTTTCAGCGACTAGCCGCCAAAAGCTCAGAGCGCTGGATCGATACCTATACGTTCCTAGTCGCTGGAAACGCTGGCACGCTGAAAAGCTAAGGCAAAGTATGATCGCACCCCTGCGTCACGACGCCACCCCATACCCTAGAGTTTAAAGGCATGCTCCGACCTCACTTGATGTTCACGCGCCTTATTCGGACATGTTAGTCCTACTTGCAAGCATGGAGGATGTAGTAGTCTCGCAAATGACAAGATTGGTGATGGAACTGCTGCCCGCTCATGACGAAGCCGCTGCTTGCCCAATGGCCACCCTAACCCAACTTTCATGTTTAAAGAGTTCCTGGTGGCGCGGTTGTTCCCCTACTAGCTGCCTCTGATATCCTTACGAACTGCACAAGTGGCACGTGAGAACTCGTCCGACCACGCCCCTTCTTCGCCTCCCACCGCAGTTCAGCGCCGGGTTCAAACTGGGGCATTTCGGATGGCCTTTTAGCACTTCTTTCTTCTTTTCTGTGTTATTTAGCATTTTGTCATTAGTATACGTGCCGCACAACTGCCCGTTTTTGAGCCCGGGCGTGCCTCCAATGACTTTAGCACTTGCAATATCAACCCAACTATTCAGATTCGGCTCGAAGTTCTTACTACATGGTTATGTTGGAAGTGAAGCATTCCTCACACTTCGCTCTGGGTCACCCGCAGGAACAAAACCCACTGCCGCATCGCTGGTGATGGGTAGAAGTCGCAAACCAGCCCCACCACCACGTGATGCCACAGCCACAATTGATGACTCGAGTAGAAGATCAAAATCGATGAAATCGACTTCAGCACGACGTAAACACTCCCAAGCTGATATCGATCGAAAGAAATCCCATACCAAAGGATCCTTGGTATCCGCAAGATCGTCGTCAGGAGGACATAAGCATTCCGATCCTGACCGTAAGAAATCTGCCACATAAAGATCTGTCCGTCAGCAGGTGATTTAGTGAAGCTTCATCCAACACCAGATCACCGTTCAGCTTGATCCTTTGCAGGACTTTTAGAAAACTTCTCTTGAACGTCAACGTCACAGCAATACTTCGTACATTTATTCACTAACAAGTAACACGTTATTATTAAATGTATTGGATACATAATGAAGATCATGGGTTCACACACAATAGACTGATATAAGCACGTGCGTTTTCATCACCATCGGCCACCGCCGCCACCACCACCACCGTAACCACCATTCTCGTATCTGAATATGAATAAGATATAGATGAGAAGAAATCGCTGAAACTTGGAAAAATTCTCAACATGTGTTTATATCACATCCCTAAAAACATCGCGGAAGAACTAGGCGCTAGGTGCTTCGGGATAGACCAGCTTGCAGTTCTGCAGCAGCAAGTAGCCTACAACTTCTGAAAGGGCTTCTGGAGGAAGGCGCTTAGAGGTGGATGAACCACCTATCATTCGTGAAAAGCCAGTATGTCCAAAGGGGTTCACCCACCCCACAGCATTCTTCCCCCGCAAAACCGATGATTAACCGATGAGGCCACTAGGCGCTGCGGCAAACTGCGCTGTAGACTGGATCCTCCCAAGACACATCCGTCAACAGCTATATGATCTTACCAAAACCTTGCACTTTGAGGGACCCCATCTGGGTCCCATTGGGGTATGACCTAGACAGGATCTAACATAGGCAAGTCCACTAGGAAAGGGTGCGTGACAATACAATCGTAACATGCCGCGCCGGTGGGCGTGGCGAGCGACGTCGCGCCTGACGCACGACTTCTGCTTGGCTATTTGAATATGTCTAGCAGGGGAACCTATACGGCCTGGCATGGGGTTTTGTCTTTGCCTGAATTCATGTGGGTCCGCTGCTCCAACCCACTAATCTATGTACACCAAAAACTCGCCGCGCTACATCGCGCGATACGCCGCTAGCTTTGTCTTGCCGCCTTCCACCAAGGTAGCGTTCAAACTTCGCGACGGTAGCGCCTCGATCACGCGTTCGACGCGATCGAAAGCATGAACGCGCGAATGCTGCCGTCGCGAAGTACGAACCCTGCCTAAGGAAAGCCCATCCAAGCGATCCTTGTGCAAAGCAGAAATAAGGTTTTAACTTGAATCAAAAAAGTTCTTTGCTGCATGAAAGAAAGAGGGTTTCGAATTGTGCTACTCCCAACTGCGCTTAGAAAGCCCAAGAGATCCCCTGCTCTCCCAGCAGATTTTCCCGGCTTGCACAAGCACAACTACTAAAGACTAGTAAAAAGCAACAGCTCACCTTCCCTTCTTTCCACCATAATCGTCTCCTCCACTGTATCCACGTTTCATTCCACCGCCGCCACTTCCAGCCCAACGACCTCGGCTATTGCCACTACCACCTCCGTCCTTGTGTAAATTCACGAAGTGGCTGTCAGGGAAACTTGTGTGGCCGGCGTTCGTTCCTGAAGACGCTTTTATAAGATACTCGTTCCTTGGCGCCATTTGAGGCGGCCGTGAAAGAATGATGTAAGCTGTAACCGGCCTAAAACATATTCCTGATTAGCATGCTTCCCAGCAGAGCCGATAAACACATACATGAAGGCACGATTGCTGGGCGGGCCATGTTGCCACGTCTTTGGTGAAAAGGCTGCGAGATGGCGCTTCGTTAAGCCATACTCAGCCCTTCCACCAATGACGCTTGCAACCATCATCTGCTCGTATCCACAGCCTTTAAATAGCAAACGTACCGTCTTGTCCCGGCGACCGGTACGACCAATGCGGTGAACGTAGTCTTCAGAATTATTAGGGTAGTCATAGTTAATAACATACTTAATGTCATCGACATCTAAAAATAATCCCTTTGTAAGTGATGACGCAAAGATAAGAAACAAAGCTTTAACACTCGCACATTAACTAGCTAGGACTCGACCGACATGGGACACGACCTTCAAGAAATTTTTAAACCGTACTCAGCAAAGCGGTTGCTCTGAGTTTGGTTCTGCAAAAATTCCTTCCGATTCTGCTCGAAACTTAGCAAGCAAACGATACTACTACTACTACAATGCTAACGATATTTTAGATGTCTATCAAGTAATCGCAGTGTTGATCACAGTTTAAAACCTGGGCGCTAGTGTAATATAGGGGGCACTTTGTGCAGTATCTTTTGGACTACTGCAGTCGCCATTTTACACAACGCAGACTTCAAAGCTGTGACTATTTTTTCCACACCATTTCTACCACTACCATTACCTTGTTGCACTGCATATGACATGTGAGGAGCCAAAAAAAAACTGGGAGTATAGGGGGTAGTTTTACCTGAGCATAAAGAGGAACAGCTACGAAGTGGGCGAAACATTACACTCAAGGCTTCCATGCCCCTAGACCTAAGCAGCTTTTCTTCGCCGTTCACACTACATTAAAAACTTCGCAGTAATCTCAAACGGAATGGGACACGACATTCGTGACTTGCGCGCTGCAGGGTGTCACGACGTGTGCGACGTCGTGCATGCAAATGACGTTGTCCCTAGATCACAAGTGGGGACAATCGATAGGTATAACGAAAAATAACCACGAATGTCCACGTTGTCGTATCTATCTGAAAGCCGTGACAAAGTCAACAGATTAAAAACTACGGGAGCGCCGCGCCCATCACAGCCTGCAGAGGAGCGCCAAACTGCGGCTGTCTTGACCACCCCCCACCTCAAAGGCAGTTGGCACGATGATTTGGTGCTCGGCCTAAATGCTAGTAGGGCGCTATATAGTGGGGAAAAGAACAAAGTGAAACGGTTAAAATCCTTCGAAGAAAAAGCCTCCATTCTCACTTGAAAATCGATTTGGGACGAGTTTCCTGTGCATCTTACCAATCACTGCTACCGAAGATACGGCTGCATATG